GGGGGGAACAAAAATAAAGAAAACACACAAATGCAAAACAACAACATAAGTGGACCATGGAGGACAACCATGTTTACATATCAATAATAACAACAGTGGGGCCCTGGCTCCAATATTTTTAAATTATCGGGGTAATTAGAGTTGGAATAGGCGGAGCCTTGCTTTGCATGGCAGCATAGAAAACTAAGTAGGCAGAGAGTAGGGGAGCTTGAAAAGGGAAAATAGCGGACCACTAGGCACCAGGGGCGCCATAGTGAAAGTAGTTCCGACCGGCGGTTACCGGTGGTCCGGTAAAGTACAATCTTACCCTCGTTCTCCTTTCCTTTGTTTCTTTCTGTCCTCCCTCCCAATGTCTCTAGATTCTACATCCTTTTTATTTCAACTTTCTCTTAACACAATTCGTCTGGACCCCTCGATTTTGGAATACAGTCAAAACCTGCCCTGACGGCCACCTCTATAGTCTATAAGACGGTCACTTGTACAAACGGCCACTTTCCATTTCCCCTCTTGCGTTTTTTCTGTTATAGTTTAACTGTGTAAAACGGGCACCTGTCCAACGCGGCCGCGGCCACCATATTTTAATGCACAACCTCTATTATACTAAGCAATAACACCTGTCTTAGACGGCCACCTTAGCAACTCCATTACGTTTTGTTGTAAATTGTGCAGTGGCCCCTGGCGTTGTGGGCGAGCCGTCATATATCAATCACCTGTCGTTGTTTTTAGGTAGTCCCTCCAACCGATCATGTTGCGCAGGCCCCTCTCACTGTTGACCAATAGGTACCAATTTTCAGCTGCTGGGGATGTAAGCATGTGGTCCCTCATAACTATAACCCATAAGCCCCGTCCAGAACTCATACACAAATCGTAAGTGAGATGAGTGGTCACTGTTTACCCAGTCTGTAACAAAGTAACAAAGGACGTCAACATGAACTTGTGACAGAAGCGTCGCTCGTTCTCCGAGTGGTGGCGACCCATGTGTTTGTTTTAACTTGGCACTCGATTCTTCCTTATCTGATACATTTCGTTTTATTGTCACCCTTATGCAAAATCAGCAACAAAATAAAAATTACAAATAAAATACAATCAACAACAAAAATGCGGCTACTTTCGATTGGGACCTCAGATGGGAATGGTTTGTTTTCTTCATCTTGATCAGTCCTGCCTAAGACGGCCACCTGTCTTATACGGCCCCTGTTCTCCTTGACAGTGGGTGGCCGTCTTATACAGGTTTGACTGTATATGACATCATTTAGTTGGTACAGTAGTCTCCGCCTAAATGCACGGTGCTCGGGAAGGCCCCATAGTGTGTGTTTATGCGGAGCGTGCGTTTACATGAAGCTTTGCAAAGGGAGGAAGAGGCACAATCATTTCACTTCCTTGATATTTTAGTGACCTCCCTTGGGGATTATGGGTCATTGTTCCCGGCTGTGGATGAATTTTATAAATACAAAAATGTTAAATGGGTTGGGGGGGAGGGGGGGGGGCAGGAAAAAGGACTCACTGCACATGCACTATAAAATGTCGAGAACAGATAATCTTGAGGAAACTGTTCTTGATAGGTGTCATAGGAAAAAGCCATCAGCCACGCTGATTTCCAATTCCAAATGACCAATCCCGACTGCCTGTCATCTATTGCAACTCAGTAAATGCATGGATGACGTCAGACTTTTCTCTTGTGATTCATTCAACAAAATGAGCGCAGTTGATTACTTTACGGTACTAATTTATTTGACTCTTTCCGGACCATCGCTGATATATGTCGGGGCGAGTCCACACCCCTTGCGGGCACCAGTCAGAAATTTTCTCTCAAAGACGCTTTTCTAGTGACCGATCAGAAGACATTTCAGGCCCCCCACCCCAATATCACCCGACCAGTTCTAGACCTATGTGTCTGTGGAAAGTTGGGCATCTAAACTCTGTCATGAAAACTTTGTCCATCACTCTTTGTTCTGCATGAGGGTCAGTCTCGCCAAATACAGGTATCCGGTTGTCAAGGCGTGTTTCATGCAAGCTGTGTAGGCTTCAGTGAAAATTTCCCTTAATCAAGCTTTGCCTGTCAGCATGTTTCGCGGATTGAAGCGTGCGCTTAGAAGTGACCATGCGTTTGCACGTCTGAATTATATGTGAGGCATCATGGTGAAATCAGGCGCTGAGCTTGTCAAAATAATGAAATCGAAGACAGCAGCATTTTTCTTCCCATTTGGCAATTTCTATACTATGGAATTTTTATTTTTTTGGCTCAACACTTCATGTCCATTAAAAAATAAAGGCACAAAAAACGTAGATGTGCAGTTTCCATTGGCTCCTAAAAGCTTTGGAAGTCGCCAAACTTTTGACAGCCATATTCTTTCTAATTTACTTCTGAATCCAAGTAACCCCACCTGCTTCAATTCGAAATATCTCGATTTTTAATAAAAATAGATGGATAATTTTTACATCGAAAGCAAGACAAATGAACAAGATTTAAAATGATACCAATAACTCCATATGCCCAAAAATTAACAGACTCCTGATTCCACCGTGTTGTAAGTAACACTTGTAGTAAAAAAAAACTTGTCATATGACGAAAGCGTGCATTTGAGCGGAGGGTGCCTCTGTATGGCATGCGTTTAGGCGGAGACTACTGTAACTTTAATGAAGAGAAACTTAACCCAATTCACCCTGCGTTGTCGCGGCAATACACTTGTATCCACCCTGACTTGTCGCAAGATTTTGGGCCTGATCATGGGTTACTGTGGATTCTTCCCCCTGGCCATTTGGCTAAGATCCCGGTTCGCCTAAGATCCCGCATTTTCCTTGCTCCCGAGCACCGGGCTCTTAGGCGGAGACTACTGTATTTTACCATTGTTGATGAAATGAGATTGTTTTTGCTTCAATTTGTTAAGATTTCGAAATTCATCATTTAGTCACACTTTTGGGGACCAACGTTTGAGACTTACTATGGATGTGTGCTATAAATTCTGTATTCTAATTGGATTATTATTAATTTCAATCCACAGAACATACAAAACAGGATGCCAGGCATTGTTGAAGCTGTCAGCCAACAAGGAAAAGAATGGTCTGGTGATTACAGAAGTGAACTTGGAACACAATCATGAAAAGTTGGGTGAGTGATTAAGTCTTTTTTATGTTTTATTTCTAAACATTGTGGTTGTTTTTGTACAATTGTTGTTTTTTTTCTTTCTTTTTTGTGTATATTGGTGTAGTACTCCTGAAAAGGACGATGCAGAACAGGGTAGTGAGTACAGTCAAACCTGTGTATGACGGCCACCCATTGTCAAGGAGACAGGTGGCCGTCTTAGTCAGGATTGATCAAAATGAAGAAAACAAACCATTCCCTTCCGAAGTCTATTTTTTTTCTAAAAAATGCTCAATGCGCATTACATAAAAAAAGACCGCACATCTTAAAAATTAATGGACATTGTAGGTAAAACACAGTATTATATAAAAAGTCTTGCAGTTAGCTTGGCAATGCGTTCACTAAAAATATACGATGCAAAAAAAATTCACCAACGGTCACAATGAAATTGAAACTTGAATAGTAGAAATATTCATTAAAACATTGGTTCTCTCTTTCTCTCTCTCTCTCTCTCTCTCTCTCTCTCTCTCT